ATACTTATATATATACGGTATCGTCATACCTTCACTTTATTTGCTATTAGACATCGGGTTAAACTGTCTGTTCCGTCCTGTATTTACCCAAATAAGTCGTTTACAACATTGGACGAGACACTAAGTATTTCACACACACACACACACACACACACACATATATATTTATATTTTTATATCTGTATAAATTTATCTGTATAAATATAGGATCGTCATACCATCAGTTCGCTCGCTATCAAGCAAGGAGTTGCACTGAAAGTGGAAACCCTTGCCCGCCGCGCACTGAGACGTTTGGGTGTATCGGAGACCAGTTCAAAACACTGCTGCTGTGCCTTCTATCTGGCCTGCAGGTACATAAATGTTACATATGGCTACCCTATACTCAATGAATGTCACATATGGCTACCCTACACTTTTTGTATGCACTCGTCTGTGGGGTCTGTGTTTATTATCTGATTATATAGTACTGTCACATAGGACTATTCTATACTAAATGAATGTCACATATGGCTACCCTACAGTATGCACTCGTCTGTGGAGTCTGTTTTTTATCTGGTTATATAGTACTGTCACATAGAACTATTCTATACTCAATGAATGTCACATATGGCTTCCCTACACTTTTTGTATGCATTCGTCTGTGGGGTCTGTGTGTTTTATCCGATTATATAGTACTGTCACATATGTATGGCTCTCCTATACTTTATTCATACACTTGTCCTGCACACACACTGTTCGTGCACATCTCAACGCAGACTCAACGCAATCTGCCAGGCGCACCTGATCACGATTTTCTGAGTACATTCATTTGCCCACCTTTCAACGTTGTGACGAGTTTTCAACGTCGTGACGAGTTGTTCTACAGTTTTCCTTATACCTATACACTGGTATATCCAGAGTACCTATATCCTCCTACCTACCTTCTGTAGTGTAATTTGAATACCGTTGTGTGCACCGGCTTGTGTATACAAGCTGGTGTCTTAAAAACATGTGCATACACCCCTTCCTACGTACCCTCTGTACTGTAATAGGCTTATCTCTAGTACATGTTCTTCTTTGTGTGGGCGGATGTACAGAGCTAATCGTGTGAGCTTGAAGAAGCCAGAGGCCGTCAAATGGGCCGAGATCAACGTCAAAGAATTCGACTCGGTAGGCTATCGCGTTCAGTAGGGTATCCGCATCATTATGCGTTCTGTTATGTTGCCTGTTGTATGGTGTCGTGATATAATTATTTGCATTACTATATTTATTTCGAAATGTCTCAGTTTATTATATATGGGTAAATACCTCTGCTATACGAGTGATTAGACCACGCTGGGGTGTGGTATGTGCCTCTGGAAAGACAAAGTTCAAATGTCAATTATCGCGCATCTGTTGCCTTGTTCAAGTACCGTTAACGTATGAGTGAGGGTGCATGCGAGTGACTCTCCGAGCATCATCGACAGGCGCCGATTTCATTACGCCTGTATGCGCCTGAACACTTCCATCCCATCTGCATGAGACCGTGTATACGAGTGGTACGTATACGTATATACGCTTATTCGAGTAGTGCCGTTGATGCACAGTTTGTAATCATCGGCTTGCCGTACAATGGCCTATACGTATTTTTGATTGGCTGTTTGTTAATAGCCGCATCCTATTGAACGAAACATTCCATGTTTTGCGCAGATTTGCCAGAATTTGCGAGAGGCCTGTCCCGATTTGGAGCCCCCCAAACCCCTCAGATCCAAAGCCAACCCAAACACTCCCGGCAAAACCCCTACCACTGAGAGCGCATCAACCGATACACGCCCAACAACTGCACATGGTATAGACTCCACAGTCAACGAGGACAACATTCCCGCGACAGGCAAGAGTGGGAAGAAGACAGTTCGGAACACTAGAGCTAAGACACATACACCCACACCCACACGTGCGCAAAGCAACGGTGAATGTGCTGGTGAATCAACTGCGGTTAGAGAGAGCAATGAGTCAGAGCGCCTTACGGATAGCGAGAAGGATGGAGATACGAATACGCACACACAGGGAAATACAGCGGGAGACACACACACCCGAACACCCGGACACGCGCATGGAAGCATGCATAAGGTGTTAGACGAAGGCGTAGGGTCTGATAAGGAGAGTGCGGTGATTAGAAGCAGGTCTGTAGTCACCACCAAGCGTGCCGATGGGCTGATGGCAGCCGCGAAACTCCAGGCCACACCGAGCACCTCGGCCAATCAGATCGCAGAGAATAGAAAACGTCGCCCAATGAAAACGACGGATAGCAGCAGGAAGTTCACACCGGGAAAACCGAGCAATCTGGCTGGTGGAGCCCGGAAGAAACTGAAAACTAATGAGATGGAACCGATAGAGGAGCGAGAAGGCGAGACAGAGTTGCAAACTCAGAGTGGAGTAGCGAAGGGTCTAAGGTAAGTTTTGTTGTTTATGTGATCAAGTTTTGGTGTTTCTATGTTCAGGCTTGTTGTTTGTGTGCTAAGGTTTACGGGTTGTATATTTCGGTTTGTTATTCGTATGCCAGGTAAGGTTTGTTGTTTTTTATCCTCGCGTCTGTGGGTGTGGGGTGGTAAGCAAGCATTCTAGCACTCTGAGAATTTTGCTGCAGGTTGGAGTTCGATATCGATATCAGTTCGAAGTAGAAACGGTATGATGTATATATATACTTTGGTTCTTCTAACCTTTCATGGATCGAAATACGTCAAAATGAATATGAAAGCAAACCTTCTTGACATAGATATAACAGCCCCACACTCAAGGCTTTAGATAGCAGCGACATGAATTTATACAAACCCTACTCAAGAAGCCAATGTACACTTTCACATTGGTATCCCACGATTGCTATAGCCCCGCCCACTGTCAAGTCTCATCCAATCCGATTCGTTCCCAAAATAGATTCTTTCAAACTGATCGCAACAACGAGAGCTTCGCCGAGTTTTCCGCCAGGATCATCGCCGCAGCCAGACTGAAACAGAAACTAGCTGTCAATAAGAACGACGTGTCAGGTGTCGGTGTCAGTGTCAGTGCGGAGGATGTGCCCGCACTCGGCACAGCGGGGATGGCAGCGTGACGCTCATAGCGTGGTTGTGGGTCACTTCCAACACGTGGTGTTTTTTGATATAACCAACACGTGGTGTATTTAATTCAATTCCCCCATTATTTCGGACCGGACTGGGGATTGAGGGCGTTGTCCACTTTTGGGAGAATGCGGGTACAAGTTTACGGTACGGTATGAGACTGCGAGGTGGTTAGGTGGAGACCGCAACCGATTGGGTGTAGCGGTGCTGGTGACATTCAAGCTGCTTTTTCAAGATGCTGAAAAGAATGGGATTCAATCTTTTTGTTGTTGCATAATGCAAGCTTCGAATCCAGTAGTAGCATGGGCAGGTGCGTGATACTCCCAACGTCCGGTGCAATGCGTACCCCCAGGAGTTCGGTACGTATGACTATTTTCCGCTTGTAGAGGAAGTTAGGCTAGTCCAATAGAAAAGCGTGCAAGGTGTTATTAAGGCGAAGGTCGTGCCAAGGCTGGGCTACAACGGGACAGACATCGTGAATCTAGTCGAGATATAGGTGAGTTTAGGGTTTAGGGTTTTAGGACAAGTAGTAGGATCTCGAGGGCAGCTGAGTATATCCGAGGCAGACAGCTCACCACTTGACACCTTAACCTCAGTGGGTATTTATAGGCTAGCGGATATCGGTTACGGGGCAGGGCATTCTGACAGTGCAGTTATATACCTGGCCAGGCAGCTCAACACATACCACTAGATGAACAGTAAGTATAGGTGACTGTTTCCAGTTGAGAGTGTATGGTCATGTCAGCGTCTCTGAGACACTTCAGAGGACACTGACAAGCAGCAGATTGTTGGCAGCTCCGTAAGTAAGTACACAAGTGTGTACATCATAAGTAAGTAAATAGGTGCACATAATAAGTACTTAAATAAGTGCTTATGTGTGAGTTCAACTGCAAGTGCACAAATGAGCACGTCAACAAATACGTAATAGGTACTTAAATAAGTGCTTACGAGTTCATGTACACTGGTAATAGTCTAGTGCATTGTGGCAGATTGAATACGCCTGATAGTCTGTTTATGACAGCGGAGCGGATCTGTGACATCTCATATACCGCTCCCATGAACATGAGTCATAGCTCGACGTATTATTGGGCAGAGCGTACATCGGCGATAGCCTGGTGCATCCTGTTGCTTCAGAGATACCTGTCAGCTCTAGAGACTCGCGTGTCACAACTGCGTATATACATGACAGGTTAGTCAATATAAAACACCTCAGATACACTTACAATACAGATGTAAATACATCACACCTACGCCGCAGATGTAGATACATTACACTTACAACTGACAATGTGTGATGTATTTATATCTAGCCCTGGGCAAAATCGGCGAGAGCGTGGAACTGAGAACAGCCCGAGAGATCGGCACCTACTTAGAGTTTAGGGTTTTAGCAAACCCTAAAACCACAGTGCAGATGGCAGAATGTTGGTGACGTTTAGGTTTGTGTGGGCGAGATAGGGAGTTCACTGGTACATGGCCCAAACACGGGTGATATGCCAGTGCACTGGTTAGTCCCAGGAGATAGCTATGTCTATGTGTAAGGGGTAGGATGTATAATCTTGGATCCCCAATTGTCTGCCGCGACTCGGTACAGACGGGATGGTATGGCTGATGCACTGTCAGTCAGCGGGGTGCAAACTATACAACTTGCGGTTCAATTGCCTACATGGTTATAATATGATATAACTGGAGCTTAGCTGCTTGATCAATACAAACACGCACATACGCAGCTTCACACAGGCACATGTGGCCCAAATCTCAAATCGCGCGGACCAGTCGCAGCCGCTGGGGGGCATCACCGCTCACTCTAAGTTCGGTACATACTTTGCATCTGAAACAAATGCCGCTTATCTGGGTCGACCATGAGTAGGTCTAGTACGGGCACTGGGGCTTTGGGACAATCCCAACCACGCGTAGCGAACTTGTTTAATACAAGCCATGCGACAGTGTGAGCTCGTAACAGAGGAATTCGACTGTAAGATTCTCCGGGTACGAAGTAGTGTGAGGCGGGAACACTGCACAAACTAGGCGCAAAGAAAGACCCCCATGATGTATAATAAAGAAGGAAAGACAGCCAAGTCTGAACACTGCACAAACTAGGCGCAAAGAAAGACCCCCATGATGTATAATAAAAAGGAAAGGACAGCCCAATACCAATGCCACAGCCAACTCTGACCACTGCACAAACAAGGCGCAATGAAAGACCCCCATAACGCATAATAAAAACAAAAGGACAGCCCAATATTAGTCTCTATAACCAATAAAGCAATAGTTTGGTATCAAAGGCCGGGTGCGGTTCGCGACAACAGCCTTCACGACGACTCAGCTGCAGCAATTCGATTGCAACGGCTGGTGTGCTGCACACAGAAGTGATCGGAATGAGAGGAACCTCCTGACCGCGCCTATGTTATTCTTTATTCTTCCTATTCGCACACACGTGCACATGGTGACAGTTCAGGCACAATGGACTATACGCTTTGGCTTCGCACTGGATTTTAGGGTTTAGGGGTAATGTCACGGACTGGTATATTATGTCTTCTTTATACTTCAATCTTCACCCCAGACTTTCATCAGTACGTATGACCAGGTATTCTGATTACCAATCATACGATGTGGTTTCCTGCCCTTGCACGCTGGCATACTATTTGTTCATGCAGACATATAGGGTGCTGGTCTGTTTACGCGGATGAGCACGCATTGCGAATGCACACAGACGCACACACATGCAAGCATGTTGCTGGAGATACATACACTTGCGTTAGAAGTAGAAATTGATAGAAACGTGCGAGAGCTGAATATGCTTCTATTGATATGTGGAACTGCGCACAAATATATGTACCATAGTTTCATTGAATATATAGAAAGTACTATTCGGTGCAGTGCAAGAAGATGTCAAGTAGGCAGCTATTTAGGAATATATGTATACATATTTTGTGTCCACACACACACACACACACATACATATATATATAAACACACACACACACACATATATATATATATATATATATATATAC